CTCCCCGGCGGGACGCTGGGTGGGGGTCCCCGCGCCCGCGCCCGCCGCCGTCTCGCTCCTTGAAGGAGATTCCGTATTTTTCCCGGCGAGAAAAATGAATTAAAGGGCGTCGGGACGAGTTGCGGGGGTCGCTTGGGCCTTGAATCCCGGCGGGATGCTCCTTCGCCGCGTCCCGGCGGCGTTAATTTACGGGGGGTCGTGAGGGATCCCCCCCAGAAATCAGCCCCGCGTGCCGCGATGCGATGGAGACCGAGAGCGTAAAACCGCTGCTGAAAAAGCCGCTTTTCAGCCCAAAACGGGTGGGTTTCCTCTAAATTTGTGTGAAAAATATCCCGGCCCCACCCTGCGCGATCCGTACGGGATCGTGGTTGGGAAAAGCGAAGCGGGCGGCGATGTTCGGTGTCACCGTCCCCATCCTCATCCTCATCTTCATCCCCATCCTCATCTTCATCCTCATCCCAGTCCCATCCCTGTTCCTAATCCCAGTCCCATCCCCATTCTTAATCCCATCCCCATTCCCAATCCTATCCCCATTCCCGTCCCCGTTCCCATCCTCCTTCCCAATCCCATCCTCATTCCCATCCCCAATCCCATCCCCATTCCCAATCCCAGTCGCATCCCCAATCCCAGTCACATCCCCCAATCCCATTCCTATCCCCAATCCCATCCCCATTCCCATCCCCAATCCCAATCCCATCCCCCATCCCAATCCCATCCCCAGTCCCATTCCCATCCCCATCTCCATTCCCGATCCCACCCCATTCCTATTGCCAATCCCATCCCCAATGCCATTCCCATCCTACTCCCAATCCCATTCCCAATCCCAATCCAATCCCATCCCCATTGCCAATCCCATCTCCATTCCCATCCCCAATCCCATCCCCAATCCCATTCCCAATCCCAATCCAATCCCAATCCCATCCCCAATCCCATCCCCAATCCCATTCCATCCCCATTCTCAATCCCATTCCATCCCCATTCCCAATCCCATTCCCAATCCCAATCCA